TTAATTGCTAAAAGATTTTTTTATATTTTTGATAATGTATATTTTTTTAAAGAAGATTTTTCAAGGAATACGTTAAATATTTGTGAAAAAATCTTGTAAAAATATTTCTAAAGAAATGCACGACTTTTGTTGATGCTTGAACAAATATTCTCAAAAAAACATCTCTTTTGTTGATGGTTGAACAAATATTCTTAAAAAAATCCAAGTCAATGGATTTATTAAATATTTTTTAAGGACAAGGAGAAGGCTTGGATTTATTAAAACTACTTTTCAAGAACCAATACAAAGGATGGATTGTTTTAAAAATATATTATAAAATATATAAAACCAACACAAGGCGTAGGTTTTTTTTAAAATAATTTTCAAAAAACAACACAAGACGTGGATTCTTTAAAAAAATTTTCAAGCATCGACAGAAGGCGAAAATTTTTAATTTTTTTCAAGCATCAGGAGAAACCGAAAATCAACCTAAAGCATAAATTTTTTGAAAATATTTTAGTTTGGTTCTCACATCAATATTAACAGCATTATTATCCATTTTCGATTATATTTTTATTTTTTGTTTTTATATAGTATGTTTTCATTAGTGTCATATAATTATGGCGAGTTTTGTGTCGTAGACACAAAAAAACCAAACCATTTGACGGGGACGGATATATTTTTAAATACAAAGGCGGATCCTATCTGGGAACGGTAATAGCAAAAAGCGGTAAATTAATGTAAGAGGTGTATTTAAAGTTATATTGACAGTTTCATTTCCTAGACAACAATGAAAAACTTTCTAATTTAAAGAATATAAAAAAAACGAAGCCAAAAGGCAAGAAACACAGCCAAAACAAAAGAATACTTATTCATCACAAGCGATGGAAATTGTAAGGGATTCTATACAAAATATGTCATCGTCCATAAATAATGAAATGTTACAAAGGTAAGTTAGTATATATATTTTTCAAGAACCTGCACAATTTTTCAGTTAAAATAAATTATATTCGATTTAGTTATAAATTTGCACGAATTGGTATAGATATGCAATAAGTTTAGATCAAATTGGTTCATATATAGATTCCAAATATGTGTAGTTCTTCTCTTGTTTAATATATATAAGAAATATTTGAAAAGAAAAAGAAGTAGTTTTTATTTACCTTCTTATTCTAAATAAAATAATCAAACAAGAACCACCTGATTATAAAACCTTACTTGGAATATGTTATATAACCCATATCTATGCCTACCCATGATGTAACTGTTGTTGCGTAGTTTTATTAACATTTTCATTGTTTACAGCCTAAAAACTTTTAGCTTGGTTGCTTACGACACTGATGATTATTTTGTTATTAACTCAAAAACTATAACACAACTCCAAGGCAGTGATTGTGTTGTGAAATATAGAGGTGGTTTTTATTCTGCAAAACTAATTGCATCTTATGGTGAGTTCGTCAATCAATATATGGATTTTGTATATTACTTTTAAAAAATAAGACATATACACTGTTGAACAAAAACATATATTGCTTCCCAAACAGTTATTTAGCGTAGACATATTTGACACAATGATGATAATTTTAATTCACAACTAATCATTTTACTATATTTGGAAGTACCATGACGTTATCGTTTTGGAATTTCATTTACACTACACATGTTTTACATACACATATGATTACTTCAAAAATATAAATACAAGGTGTCTGAGATTGTCATTAATATACAGAAAAATGATAAAACATTTATAAATTTATATATAATTTTCCACATTTCATAATATAAATTTGTTATGAAGAAAACACTACATTGAAAATAATTTTTTAATTGCATACTAGCGCATAACCCTTTTGTTGTTATTGACGATCTTAAACATTTAAAGTATTTGAATATCTGATGTAAACAAATTATATACGAGCAAAAATAAAAAAAGTTTTTCTATAGATGACAAAAAGAAACTTCTGGAATTAAAGCGAATGAAAAGAAGACAAAGTCACTCAAAACATGTAGACCAAAAGCCTACATATGAAATAAATAAATGTATACCAAATTCTACAACAAATGTCCAGAAGAGTTCAGAACCAGAAATTATAAATGACAATTCAATGGAACTACAAAATAAAAACCATCACGAAACATGGGAGAAGATTCAAATTATTCATCATATGTAAGAAATCACGAAATAATATATAATTCTGGTAGTGAATGTTCTTTAAATGCTTTTGACGTAAGTTTGGCAAAAAAACAAGGACATCTTAAGAACTCTACAGTCTTACAAAAAAGCACGATGAACTCGAAAGATTATAATCCCTCTAAAAGTAATAAAAATGACACACTACTAGATGAATCGGAGCCTGTTATAACGAAAGTGACGGGTATTGAAATTCCTTCATCTGAAAATCATCCCAAACAAAGTGGGATGAAACGTCATCAAGTGGCGAATCTGTTCCTTTTAAAAATTCAGTGCTTAAAACCCATCGACTAAAAAATTGTACTGCTATTAAATCATCAGGTAATAGAAGTACGTTGGCTATAGAAAGTTTTAATTCCTCTATGTCATATAATGACAAATCTGTGTCAGAATACCTACCGGATTCATCTTTACAAAATACAACAGTAAATACAAGTTCCATTGTAGAAGTTAACACCGCTCCAATTCAGATAGATTCGTTAAGATTTCCGTTTTCAAAATCAAAACTAAAAGACATTTTTGCATGTATTGCAAAACATTGCGGTGCAAAATTGCTCGACATTTATTCTTAAAACATAAAAACGAAAATCTAGTTAAACAAGCAATGGCACTTCCCAAATTGAGCAAAGAACGTTTAAAATTAATTGAAGACATTCGAAAACAAGGAGATTTCATACACAATACATGCGGTGATCAGAACACTGGTATTTTAATTGTATCTAGACGACAACAACAAAAAACAAACCGAAAAGCCGACGACTATATATGCTGTTCAAAATGTAAAGGATTTTATACAAAATTTGCATCACGACAACACAGTAGGAAATGTGTTCAAAAACACAACTCCAGATCAAATTTTATTGAAGGGCGAAAATTAACTCAATATATACACCATGTTGCGAGTCCTGCAATGAAAACAACGATATTTCCTGTTCTCCGAAATGATAACATAACCAAAGCAATACGTTTCGACGAATTAATTATCCGATATGGTAACAGATTATCCGAAAAACTTTCTCAAAGTCACCACCATGATCAAATCCGAGCAAACATGCGCCTTTTGGGTAGATTTGAAATAGAATTTATGAAAATTGTGCCGGAGATATCCGAATTGAAAGATATATTCAAACCATATTTGTTCGATAATGCTATTGAGGCACTTCGAAAAACAGCAAAGTGGACCTTTGATAAAGGATTCGCAACGCCAGCTGTTGCCACATCCTTGTCATCTTTAATAAAAAATGCGCACGGATACAACGAAATGAATTTATTAAATGTCAAAATGAAGATTCTAAATGTAACTTAGACAATTTTATTTCTCTTTGGGTAGAGGAAACACGAGAACAAATCAACAAAAAAGCTCTGGAAGATCTCGATAATCGGAAAAGGACAAAAACTAATGACTTGCCAAGTAAAAACGACATCAAAATTTTGTATGATTATTTAAGAACTATAATGCTTGATTCCTTCGCCGAATTATGCTTAAACTACAATTTCATTTCCTGGAAAAAACTTTTGGAATCTACATTAATATTTATCCAAGTATTCAATCGACGAAGAGCTGGGGAAATTGAAAGGTTAACAATTGAAAACTTTAATAAAAAGGAACAAATAACTGATTGTGTAGAAGCTGGCATGTTGGAAAATATCTCTAAACAATCCATTAATTTCGCCAAACAATTCGTTCGAATCACGTTACGGGGAAAGTTAGGAAGAACCGTGAGCGTTTTGCTCGACCCACTGTGTATTAAGTCCATTAACATTATTCTTAAATTCAGAGAAAAGGCTGGCATTTCCAAGACAAATCCATATATATTTAGTGCGCCTGGTAAGTCCAGCTTAGCAAAAAGTTACTGCAGAGCCTGTCCTTTGCTGAGAAAATTTGCATCAGAGTGTGGAGCATTGATTCCCGATACACTTAGAGGCACAAAACTGCGAAAACACATAGCAACATATACCTCATTGCTGAACGTGCAAGAATCGACGGTTGATAGACTTGCTAACTTTTTAGGCCACCACAAAGACATCCACAAAAGCATATATAGGGTACCGGTGCCAGTAGCCAAAATTACAAGCGTGTCAAAATTTTTATTATCGGCTGCTGGGTGCAATTTTCAAAATAGTATCGAAACTAGTAATTCTAATAGAAAATATGAAGGTTTGGAGGAAAACTCTGAAGATTCAGAAACAGATATGGTAAAACCGAAGAGACGTAGTAGTAAGTAAAAATTGTAGAAACTATAATTCTTAATATTTTTGATTACTTAGCTGTATTTTAACCAACTTAGTACTACACAAATAACAATATTTTCAATATTTTAGCATCCCCTTTCGGACGGACAATACGCAAGAGGTGGAGCAGTGCTGAAATTGATTCCGTTAAAGAAACATTTGGAGATATTTTGGCCTTGGAGAAGTTGCCTTCCATAAAGCAATGTGCAGCAGCTATAGAAAAAAATATCTCCCTATGTAAAAGAACACCGGCTCAATTAAAAACATGGATAGACAGCCAGCGAAAAAAAGTTGCCGTTCGAGGAAATTAAACAATTTGGTAACAAGTTTTAGTATTAATTTATAATCTGTTTCTAACAGCTTGTTTTTCAGATTTCCCCACTTTCAACACACAGTCACCGCCACAACATTCCACGGACCCAGTGCTTTCTTACTTTTTTTAGTGATTTAAGCTTTTCATGCATATGAAACACTCTTGCCCATGTATGGGATATGTTCACACACACGCACACACAATTACAATAATTTTATTTCAAAATATTTTTATCATGTTTTATGAATTCTATGAATGCTGTAAAATTTTTATTGACGATTAATTTAAATTTAAAGCCTATTCTTTAATAAGTATTGAAAACGTGTTTTTTATGAATAAAAATATTCATTATTAATTTATTTTGGCTTATGTTATTATTATAGTACTTATATATATTTTTTTATAAAATACATCTTTAGCCGTTTTCGTGTACTCATTTCATTTAATTTGTCATTTCTTAATTCACTTCATTGTAATATAAAACCGACCGAAAACTTATAATAACTAAATACAGTACCCAAAAAATACTTACTTATTTACAATAACTTAAAGAAATTAATACTTATGAGCACTAAATGGTACTATATTTGGTACAATTTGAATTTTAGGTGAACTAATAGAGCTAGAATCATTAAATTTGGTGTCAGGATCACTATTGAGGTGTAAGATTGAGATATGTAAAAAATTTAGAAATTTGTATTAATGTGTACTAAATTTGGTACAATTTGAATTATGAGTGAACCGATAGAGTTGAAATTCTGAAACTTGAATTTGGGATCACTGTGGGGTTGGGTATGTAAGAAGTTTTAGAATTTTGTACTAAGTGTACCAAATTTGGTACAATTTAAATTGAGAGTGAAGCGATAGAGTTGGAATCTTGAAATTTTGAGGTGTAGGATTGGGGTATGTAGGAAGGTTTGGAAATTGGTACTACTATGTACTAAATTTAGTACAATTTGATTTGTGGGTGAACAGATAGAGTTGGAATCCTGAAATTTTGATTTAGGAACACTGTGGAGGTGTAGTATTGGGGTATGTAGGAAGGTTTAGAAGTTGGTACTACTGTGTTCTAAATTTGGTACAATTTGAATTGTGGGTGAACATATAGATTTGGAATCAGAAACCTGGATTTTGTTTCACTGTGGAGGTGTAGGATTGGGGTATGTAGGAAGTTTTGGAAATTGGTACTACTGTGTACTAAATTTGGTACAATTTGAATTGTGGGTGAACCGATATAGCTGGAATCCTGAAACTTGGATTTAAGATCACTGTGGAGTGTAGGATTGGAGTATGTAGGAAGTTTTGGAAATTGGTACTACTGTGTTCTACATTTTGTACAATTTGAATGGTGGGTGAACAGAACAGAGTTGGAATCCTGAAATTTTGATTTAGGAACACTGTGGGGGTTTAGGATTGGGGTATGTAGGAAGGTTTGGAAATTGGTACTACTGTGTACTAAATTTGGTACAATTTGAATTGTGGGTGAACCTATAGAGTTGGAATCAGAAACATGGATTTTGGGTCACTGTGGAGGTGTAGGATTGGGGTATGTAGGAAATTTTGGAAATTGGTACTATTGTGTAGTAAATTTGGTACAATTTGAATTGTGGGTGAACCAATAGATTTGAAAACCTCAAATTTGGAATCATTGTGGGGGTGTAGGATCGGGGTATGCAGGAAGTTTTGTTGGATGGTTGTGGAGTACTAAATGTTACTCAAATTCAATTTATGGTAGATATTAATGTGCAGATTTATTTGTTTTTCTGACATATGCAGTATTTTGTGAAAATAACATAATATGTTAATATATGTTTAAATTATTCCCACATTCGCTAACGAAGTAACAGGTATATGCTATATATGATATATGTAATGAATTCGGAAATTCGTACTAGAATGGTACAAAAAGTACTAAATAAGATAACATTTGTATTTGGCGAACCGGTAAAGGTAGAACTCTTAAATTTTAAATGAGGGTCACTGATGGAGAGTAAAATATATATAGCAAAGAGTTTTTTGGACATTCGAACTATAAGTATGCGAAAAGTTCTAAATTTGGTACAATTTCGTAGCATGTGAATGAATTGAGCTAAAAATTTGAAATGCGAATTAGGGTTGAGATGTAGGGTCTATTTAAAGAGATTGTTTTTGAAAGAGTGACTCATGGGTACGAAAAGTAATATATTTGGTACAAATTTTATTCGGAGGAACAAATCGAGCTGGAATCCTGAAATTTGAAATTAACATTACCGTCGGATTGAGATATGTACGTAATTTTGGAATTGTTTACTTATGTGTACGAAAAGTACTAAATCGGACTATAATTGGTACAATTTAGATTTGGGTGAACCGATAAAGCGGGAACAATGAAATTTGGAGTCAGGATCATTGCAGAGGTGTAGGATTAGGTTCAGGATTCGGTTTAAGAAATTAAT